TAGGACAGACATTGTTGGAACAGGTAAAGCATCAATACAAACTCAATGTCACGGTCTGTCGACCCCCAAACCCCCTGACCACCCACCCCACCCACAGGCCAGAAAATAAATCAATAAACAAATAAATTAAAAAATAAAAAGTAAAAAAATAATAAATAAATAAATAAATAATGATAAATAAAAGTATAAATAATAAGAATTATAAAGAGAAAAACAGGTTTAAAAAAAAAAAAAAAAAAAAAAGAAAGAAAGGGGGAGAGGAGACATGAATGTATATATAAATAGGTAATTAGAGAGCATGTAAGATATTCAATTGTCGTCAGGGTCAAGAAGATTCAAGGAGTCAAAATATCTAAAAAAAGGGTCCCATGTAGCTTGAAATGGCTTGGTGGAGCCTCTGAGAGAAAACCTCAGTTTCTCTATTTTGAGATTGTAAAGCACCTCTCGAATCCAGCGGGTATGTGAAGGGGGTTGTGGGTCTTCCAGTTAAGTAGGATCAGCCTACGAGCTAAAAGCGTGGTAAATGCTATAGCCCGATTCATTCCTTTAGGCAGGTTAGAGGTAGGGGGGGGATACCAAAGATTGCAGACAGTGGATTGGGGATAACCAGAGAACCATATGCTTCAGACAGTGAATCAAAAATCCCTCTCCAGAATGGTTTCAACTCGGGACATGACCAAAACATGTGTGAATGATTGGCAGGCAAGAGTTTACATCTGCCACAGGCTTCATTTACAGAAGAATACATTTTTGCTAGTCGTGAGTTAGTGTAATGAGCCCTGTAAACAACTTTGCATTGAATAAGTCTATGACGGGCACAGATAGAAGATGAGTGAACTAAAGACAGTGCAGATGTCCATTGTTGTTCTGTGAATACAATGTTAAGACTCTCTTCCCAAGCTGTTTTAACTGCGTTTGCGGGTGCTGAGGTTTCTGACCAGATAAGCTTATAAAGTGTTGAAATGCATCCTCTAAGATTAAAGTTCAACACATCATTTTGGTTAAAATAGCAGACAGACAAGCTTTCAATCAAGGAATGGTTTTAAACATCCCAAAGCAAACGGTTCCTGATCTACTATGAATTATGCATCACACACAGATCAATAAAATCTTTGTTATTCCAAAAAAGCAAAAAACAAAAACATTCTTCTTTCTACTTTGGCAATTTTTGCATCACCTCTTGTGAGCTGGAAGAAATAAAATGTTGATAGTTAGACACGATTTTGCAGAGGAGGATCAGCCATATATAGTTTGTCAAGTAGTGAGGGCAGGAAGAGCCATGCTGCTGAGAGCGAACCATCAGTGTGGAGCGTAAAGCGCAGACTCGGAGCTAAGTGCGTGCACAAGCACAACTGGAAGAGCAGAGTTTGTTAGAGTTGAGCACGTCGCACCGGACCCTTTACTTTGACCCCCGCTGCTGCTGTCATGGTCCATTTGTGGTCATACAGAATGTGCACCGCTGCATGCCAGGCGGGCGGCACGGGCCAGCTGGATGCAGCAGTGTGGCTGATACTGCTTAGATTTAGCACAATGATACATTTTAAATGTCTGACAGACCAACCGCTAACGTTTCTATTCAGTCTCCTCCCGTCAACAAAAACTCACACCCGTGAGTCTTCATGTTTTTGTCATCTAAGATTCATGCTTAACTCGTCATTTCTTGTTATCTTCACACAAAAAAGGAGCGTCAACGAAATAATATGGTGATCGTCATTGTTGATGAAAGCAACACTGATGAGAGCCCCATTATCAGGAGACACACTAGATCACTGGGATAGAAGGAGGGCAACATTCTGAGATGTCTGCCCAAGAAAAAAGCCACAACACAACACATCCAACACCACATCAACAACCAACGGCACAACACAATACAACAACAGCAACAACACAACCAACACCACTAACGTTGGATGCACAGGGACAGCAGGCGTCATTATGTGAAAGCTAAAATGAAGCACAGTTGTGGCTGTTGTGTTGTAGGTGTTGTGTGGCTTTTATATTAGGGGGACTTTTCAGGGCCACTGTGGATTTTAATCCCCACACTGTACAAATATTGGAATCTGTGCTTAAATGTCTGCCAAATCCATTTGCACAGGGACAGATAAAAACATTCAATAAACCAAACATAACCTGCCACATATCTGTCTCAATATCCATTTTAATTAACAGGCCTGTGTAAGGTTCCAAGCATTTACAACTAAGTCATGGAACTAATTCCCAAGAAGTTACATAAGACCTCCCATTATGATTCAAAAAACTATTCAGGCCATGCACAACAGAAGGCTCCAACAAGCCAGAATAACAAGGGTGGCTAATTGAATAGCATCTGACTTGGAATGTGTGCAGGAGGATGGACCTCCATGCTGTGTGAATACATCAGCGCTCCAACTAGAGTTTGCTCTGGGGCGAGGCATCAGAACTGACAAAGACTATTGGATAGATATTGAAATGTCTTTCAAAAACAGAGCGAAATCTGATTGCCTTCCAAATGCAGCCTGTTTGTGGTCATTTAAATGAACAATTTTCATTCATTTCAGAAGGAACTATTCACATGTATTATACTAAACTGGATTTAAAATATTCCCCACTTTTCAGCAACATTTCCCTTTTTCTTCTCATCATGGAGCAGCCGGATTGCTTGGACTCCCAATGAATCATGTGACACCCAAGGTTACGAAGGATACTGCAGACCTGTCCTTCAAAATGGCCGAAAAGAAGGCTGCATCTGTTGGGCACATATGAAGGGGTCTTTGGCCAATTCTCAATATTCAATTCAATTCAATTCAGTTTATTTATATTGCGCCAAATTCACAACACATGTCATCTCAAGGCACTTTACAGTTCAACCAGATCATACAGTCAAATTGATACAAAGTTTTATATAATATATATACTTGTGCGTTCTCGTGTGCTCGTGAAACATCATCTGCCTCAGCCACAGCACTGTTCCCAATCACAAGACCGAGAACAGACAAATGCCGTTTCTCATTATGTGTACTTGTGCGTTCTCGTGGGCTCGTGTACTCGTGAAACGTCATCAGCCTCAGCCCTAGTACTGTTCCAATTCACAGGAACAGCAGACCGAAAATGGACAAAGTCCCCAGATGCTGTTCTCACCCCTCCCTATTTACCCAGCATGCATCAAAGCAGACTTGTTCGTTCTTGAGATATACAGCTGTCCCAGCATGCACTGCGGCAGATGCAGCGTTCAATGGAGCGCTCACAGAGCTCAGAGTATGTTAAAAGTTCTCTTTTCTGTTGCTTTTGTTCAGTAAAAGTACGTTTTAAGATCATTTGAGGCGAGAATATTATACTTTAAAGCATCACTATATGGTCCATTTACCGATTTAATGCATAATTTAAAAATACATTTCCGAAATTGAGAGGACCGCAGCAACCAACCAGGGCTAACTACAACCCGTCTGCAGCAGGCATGAATTTATACTTGAGCTAAGAAACTGCAAATCTGAAATTGTGGTATTACTGCATATTTTCTGTTCTGTGTCTATCCAGGGCTCATCTAAGGGATTATGTTTTACTCAATTAAGAGATGTATTGTAGTCTATTTGCTAAGTAGTAGTTGTGGAAGTTAGGCAGATCTAGTGCTCCTCTGTCTTTAGTTTTCTGTAGTGTCTATAAGCTGAGACGAGGGAATTCATCTTTCCAAAGAAATTTGGAAATGGAAGAATCTAGAGATTTCAAACCATCCAGATGATGGTTTATTGGGGATAATTGAAAATAAGTAGTTAATTCTAGGTAAGACCATCATTTTAATTGAAGCTACACTACCCATAAGTGAGATCATAGGCGATTTCCATCTTTCAAAGTCCACTTCTATCTTTTTTTTTTAAATCTTTTTAAATTTTTTAAAGTTTGATTTCAGTGTTTAAAGTCATCACGAACGAAGGAGTTTGATTCTGGTGTTCTGCCCGATTAAAAGACTGATTGATTTTAGGAGAGAAAATGGACACAGTTCCCCAACAGACCTCTTTGATGTTTCTACTATCTGTGTTTTTTGCAAGCTGTATGAGCTTCTTTGTTTTTGTATTACTACTTAGTTCAAACCAGGGGTCACCAACCTTTTAAAGGCTGAGGGCTACTTTATGGCTACCAAGTCATAGGAAGGGCTACCAATACTGACCTATGTACTGGAGGGATCAGTGTTCACCTACAGTAAATCTCATCCATAAAAACTAATTTTTATTCTTATTTTATTATTTTATTCATTTCTAAGTTTCTTTTTAATATTGTCATTTTGAAAACACTGAAATATGATGAAATAGTTAACATGATGAAATAATACATAAATGATTAAAAAGAAGAGCAACAGAATAAACAAAAATTAAACTCAACCCACTGAGTGAGTTGTTCTGTTTTCAGAAGATGAAGAGGGCCCCCCATGTGGTCCTTGAGGACCTCTTGGTGCCCGCGGGCACCGCGTTGGTGACCCCTGGTTTAAACCAATAAAAGTCAAACTGGTAACCAAAAAAAAAACAAAAAAATGCAATAGAAGAGGTGTGGCTAACCTTCAGTAATCAGCTCCAATCATCTCCAGCTGCTCTGAGGATCCTATAAAAGCAGCTCCTGCAGGTTGGAGTCTCTATCAGGGGGATCTGAGGTCTATCTTTCACTAGCAGCAGAGCAGCACTATGAGGTGAGGTCCACTTTAACAGCAGCTTGAATCCTGGACTGAAGATGTGTTGCTAGAACTTCCGGTCTGAATGCTGCTAATGATCTGAACTTCCATGTTTCTGCAGAATGTTGTGGTTTTCTTTCCTGCTGATTGGAAGCATCACCTGTGCTCCTCAAACTCTAGGTGAGTTTTATTCCCACATGAAGTCTGAAGGCAAGTTTATTTGTAAATCACAATTTAATACAAGGGCTTTAAGTGAATTGGACAATAAAATGAAAGCGGGTGGTAAAACCACCCAGTTATCTGTTGAAATGAGCTGTAGATGTTTGCTCTGACTCTGAACTGCTTCCTCAGGTAGTCGAGATGAACAGCTTCCATGGTGGTATAGAGGTCCATACGCTCAACAGGAACAATACCAGCCAGTCTCCAACTACCCCAGTGGACAGGCCAGCGGGTCTGAGGCTTCTCCAGGATTTTACCCCATCAGTGCTGGCAGCAGTTTTCCTTCTGGGGCCCAACAGAGCAGTAATCAGGGCAGCCAGCATGGAGTTCCAGCTGACAGCAGCTCTCACCAGGTTGGAGAGGAGAGCTATAGCTCCTCATCTGATCCTGGTGAGGATGAGCCAGAGTTCACTCCTGTAAATGACCAGGATGTAGTGTACGCCAAGAAGTCCAGATCCCGCTACAGCCGTAAGCAGTTCCGGGTCACTACCTTCCACTATGATCCAACCCAATCAGTGGCTGTCCATCCACCAGCGTTCCCCTTTCCAGGAGGAAAGGTTGGTCATCCAGGCCAAGATCCAATGAAGCATTCCTGAAGATCTATGGTGAGGTTTGCTTCAGTCGTCACCTTCAGGTTCTGCTACAGATCTGATTCTGACTTTACTTTCAGGTTGAAGAGCTGCTGCTTGTAACTGGTTAAATAAATGGCTTTCAATCCAACTTGGGTTTGCTCAGTTCTTTAGAGGCTTTAATGTATCAAGGGGTGCTGGGAGGCCCTGATGGCCAAACTTTGGCTTTTGTTAAATTGTTTATCTAAACCTAGCTTTTCACAAAATGACTACATTTGTACATATTAGGCTGCATCATATATAATGCAGCTCTGCAATTACGATGTTTTTATGTGTTCTATCAGAGTCGATGACGGATGTGGTCCGCAGATGTACAGTGAGATTTGGCAGAATGTTGTCTGGTGGTTGCTTTTAAACATGCATCAATATTTACATGTCTTGCTCCTTTTCTCATCAGTTTTCAGATCAAAGGATCTTTCTATCTAGTTAACAGTCCAATCATGTCATTTCCAGCTCCTGTGATTTATTTTACTGGTCTTGAATTTTCTGCTCAGCTCAGTCAGCAGAGCCTCCATCCCTGAACCTTAGCTTTTCTAAAGCCATTTCCATAAATTAACACCTGACGGTGTGGGAAGTTGCACCCTTATATGGCATTAGGGTGGTAATGATGCAGATTGTTCTCAGAATGCACCTCACAAGTTTGCCAGTATCAAGGAACATTTACTAATGTTAGGAACATTTGTTAATTTGTGATGCATTAGTTGGAGGAAAGGAAGTGAAATTTAAAACTTGAATGTTTCATGAGGCAGATGGCTCTAAAACAGGTGTCCTGCAGGTTTGAGAGGTTTCCCTGCTTTAGCACAGCTGATTATGATTGCAGTTGAGCAAAAGCCTGTTAATCAGCTTTCAATTAAAATCAGCTGTGCTGGAGCAGAGAAACCTCTAAAACCTGCAGGACAGCGGCCCTCAAGGACCGACTTTGGGGACACCTGATCTAAAAAGTTGTCGGAACCGGTTTATCTGCTTGGGGACCTGTCCCTTATGACGTCATATGGCAACTCCACTCGGACAAACTGTATTGGACCAGTTTCTTACAGATCAAATCTCTTTGAGTCACATTAGCTGTATTTGCTATTGTACATTTCATTGGTGATCTAAAGTAGCGAGTAGAAAACAATTGTCAGTGTAGGAAAGTACTGTTCTAAGACTGAGCTCTGCCATTTACAAGGTGAAACTAGATATTCTTCTGGTTAAATCTGGTTCTGAGGACCTTTGGGGTGAGATGCTGCTTAAAAGGCCAACTATAACATTTCTTTTTCCAAGGTAACTTTAGATTTTATTGACCAATAAATGCAGCAAGCAAATCTAAGGTATTGTTCCTTTAAGCCTCTGAACCATGTTACCAACCAGCTCTGTTAGAGGCTCTTTGCTGTATCTAGAACCAGTTCTAAGCTCAGGGAATCGGGCCTCAGCAGACCTCCAGGTATAAACACCATATAGCTGTTCTAGATCTTCATTCATGACCCCTATACAAATTTTGTTAAAGGATGTCATAGAATGCAAAACCGGGTTTCCATTATCATAGATGACTAATGATAGTTCAGTGGGTGAAATGGACGTAAAGAGAAGTTTAAACCCCATCGACGCCTCCTTTCTCTGCAAGTCTCTCAATTCTAAACTTCCATAAAACGGGCAAACAAAGCCCCGAGTTGCCTTATTTGATTCTGGCCTGTACTTTTCTCACGCTCCGAAGTCTACATACCGACCAGCTCACTGGTTTACTGGCCCGAGGGGTGGGGGGGTATGAAGCATCAACTGTTGGGCCGCTGACTGGACCGGACCTCAGCTGAGAGCCAGGAGCTGTCCATCCCCAGCCGGAGAACGGGGGGCTGGGGGCTGCCAGTGTCCAGGCTACTGTCACCGGGTCGGGTTCGGTCGCCCCCGTCTGCCGGGGTTCCCGGAGCTGACGACTATGTCCTGCACTGTAGTCGACCAAAATCCCGGGTTTTTGAAATTCCCCCCATTAATTTTTTTTAGGTATGAAAATTAGAACATGACAAAAAGAGGACGTCTGGTCACCCTACCATATCAACAATTTGATGTTTCAGTGAGTGAGTGCTTGTTGCTATGATGCGTCTTTGTTCAGCAGCTTCGCTTGTTGTAAACCAACCAATCAGTGCACAGCTCATCTAAATATTCATGAATATTCATAAAAGGAAGAAAACCTGTCGTTTCATTCTAGGGCTTTTAACCAGGCTTGCATTAGGGATCATAGAACAGCAAATATGCCATTTTCAGCCCAACCAATGTTACACACCCTATTCAGAGATCCTCTTACACCCTAAGGGGGTTTAAATAAATTTCTGCCTGACAAAATCACACAAAAGTAAATAACTTATAGCCTCACAGCTATTAGATATAAGACGAAACTTTTGGTACGTCTGTGAAGGTAAGATGTCATAGAATGGTTTTCTGGTGTCGGCACCATTGTAGCTTTGACCCTGCCTGAAATATTAGGGACAAAATACAAAATATTTTGCATTTTTTGAACCTCGCCAAAATTTTCTTTGAAATAAACATTGCAAAACACTACCAAAATATTATTTATAGCACAAAAAAGTAGTACAGACTTTTAAATCTAAATGTTGTGTAAAAATATACCAAATTTGGTATCAATCAGATGAATCATATTTATTTTAAAATGGTATTAGTGAGAAATTTCTTAGACGGAGAGGCCATTATGGCACATTTATCCATAAATGTCACCAAACTGTGCCAAATGTGTTTTTTACATCAATACTGGGGGTTTGTTAAAATTATGAGGTCACGTAGCAGCTGGACCCACCGGTGGGTCCGTAGGGTTCTAGGGGTTAAGGACCAGCACCAAATACACTATAGAATCATTCTATGACCCCTTTAACATTTAGTTATTGTTGCTTCTATTTATCTGATGCATTCAATTGTATTTCGATTTGTTTTTAGCTCTTATCTTTTGTTCATTTCTATTAGATAATCTATTGTTAGACGGTTGGTTGTTTTGCATTACACTGCACTTTGTTCCCTCCGGGGCTTTATAAATAAAATCGGATTTAAATTAAAAGGTTAAAGATCCTTGTTCCTGTAAGCTCCAATCTTGTGAAACATGCGGGACAAAATCAAGAGCTGCTTAACATGGTTAAAGATAATTTCGAAAAGGACTCAGCAGCAGTTTCATTGGCACTATTGTGATCAATAATGATCATTTAGTAGATAATTCATTTATTTTATATGGTATTTACCAACTGTATAAGAAATGAATAGCAAAGATATTTTAGCCACGTTTTTACTTCCCACCCTGCAGACATGCAGATGCAGCTTTCATTGTTTTGGAAAAGTTTTTTTTTCTAAACATGTTGCTCAACATTTCTTTTCAAATCACCATCGTAATGCTTTTAGATTTCAGTACTTGAGTTCTACAATCAACACTTCTGAATATTTTAAGTTTGTAAAGCTGTGACAAATAACAGAATAAAAATGAGCCAATGATATCTCAGAGCTATGCCACCTTTCCTACCTGGTGCTGGATGGGCCGCCACCAGCGGCACAGGGAGCAGAAACACAATGAGCAAAGCTGTTCTCATCCTGAGCAGCCAACAACAAAAGACAAAGGTTTAGAGCAGCCTCTGTGAGAAATACAAGCTTCTCATACGACCTCCCCCCGGACCTCCCCTCTTCACATACCTCAAACAAAGCTCTGTATGTTGCTGTGCGTGGGTGATATGGATTTGACCTCTGTGCAGGACTCTGACCGCTGAGTCAGAGAAAGACCCTGCTCTTTGAATCTTACAATATTTGCTCAGGGCTTGTCCAAACCTACACTCTGTCCTCGTATTGAAAGGGAAGGGGCTTTTCTCTCTGCTGAAAGGAGTTCAGTAAGTGTGGGGCAAGAAATAAGCAGAGTTAGCAGGTGGTCACAAAGCTGAGAGCTTTCTTTGGGTGAATCCCACTAACCCTTCACTATCAGTGTCCACTCTCAGCTGTGGAGGGCGCTTTGATTGTACAGGCGGGGTATAAGTGAGAAAGGGACACCTCCATTAGAAAAGGAAAGAAGCCGTTGCTATGACAACATAGTGACGCACCATGTAGCTCTGTGGCACAGGTTGACATGAAATTAAAACATTTGACAAAAAAAAAAAAAATGTAAAGAGTACCTAACTTTTTAGTATCAATGACTTTTTCCTTACTTGTGATTTTCTCAGTGTGACAAAGATGCAGCAACCAATCAAAAGTTACATGTGAATTCATGTGGTTTTGCTGCCACTAGTTTGTCGTTAAACGCGCTGCCACGTTCCAGTGAGCACGGACTGATGCAGAGGAGCCACTTAAGGGCGTAGATTGATTGGACCTACCCACTATGAGCTTTGGGACGGTCCTTAATATGGCGGGTTCGTGTTTAGGGGCTAGATTGGGATTCAGCCTTGGTGTGTTTTTGAGCTGCCGACCCAGAGCAAAGCTGTGATCTTGTCTCAGATGGATGAAATCTGTGGGTCAATATGCATTATTTTTCAAATCAACCAAGGGGATTCCCAATAATATTTGCAATTCAAATGTGTTAATCTTCCTCACAGTTTAAGGGAGCACAACACATGCTACATTCACTTGAGATTTTTTAAAGATAGGATTTTAATTTCCCAAGTCTGCTTGGGATCAAGTAGACAAAAAGTTTAAATTGGGTTGTTTCATGGAAACCAATTACTTTTACCTTGTCATTTTTAGTCTTTGAAAGATAAGATTTTTTAGATTTTTGCTTAGTGTCAACTACACAGATCTGAAAGTTCAGAGCTTCAAGTCCAGTTTTTAACTGTAATTTGACTTTTACATTCTGCAGAAGCCAAAAGTTCCTTCAGGTTCTCACAGCTGAAATTCAGTCAAAATCTATCAAATTTGCTGAGGTGCGATTTGGTCATTTCCAACCTTTGCATCGTGTACCCTCAACCCCTTTGGGCATTCTTTCGTACCCTAGTCAAAAGTATTTGTACATAATGAACATTTTACCTTTTTAACTTGAGCACTTTATGCTTTCCATCTCAAATGTTATGTTAAGCTGAACACAAAATTCAAATCTGTATTTATACGACTGGAGCTACCTTATCACATTTAAAATTGAATTGG